ACACTGACCTAGCTGTTCCATAAATACAAACTTAATCATGTCACTAACCTTGGCCAACCAAATACTAGGTAGCATATCATCTCTGGTGATAGAGAACAGTTAAACACAAGATTTTGAACGGAACAACTCTGAGAATGTAGCCAGTTGCAATTTTAGGATCTGGATCTAGAACTAAGTTCTGTGGAAAAAGTTACTTTTAAAAAAGAACACTTCCTGGGGCGCCTGAGTGGCTCAGTCGTTAAGTGTCTGCCTTCAGCTCAGATCATGATCCCAGCGTCCTTGGATCGAGCCCCGCATTGGGCTCCCCGCTCCATGGGAAGCCTGCTTCTCCCTCTCCCACTCCCCCTGCTTGTGTTCCTGCTCTCACTGTGTCTCTCTCTGTCAAATACATAAAATCTTTAAAATAAAAATAAAAAAGAACACTTCCTTATCTCTTACTACTCCTTTTCCTCCAATTTCTCTCCTTGCACGTTCACTCTGAAATTTTTATATTCTACAGGCACAGAAACAGTGGTCCAAATATGTGGTCTGATCAAGGATTTCTATGCTACTTCAAGTGTGAAAACTGTATGAGAAATATAAGCTAGGCTTGAATTGCCCAATATACATGCAGCTATTTAAATTTAATTAAAAATTTCAGTTCACACTAGCTACATTTCAAGTAATCAATAATGACGTGTGACTAATGACTACTATATTAGGTAACACAGACTTATTCAATGAAACAATATTCTATAGGATATTTCCAACATCACAGAAAGTTCTATTGGACAGTGGTGGACAGCAAAACATCAGCATTTCTGGGACACTGTAATGGTTTATGGGGCAAAGTAGAGCAAACTGCTGAAATCAGGATGATTCTGAAAATCAGGACTTAATGATCAATGCAAACGAATCCATACTCAAAGAGAATATCTCAAAAGTCACAAGTCTCCAAGCAAAGTGGTCCCTGGAAGAAATCATACATACACCAGTACAGTGTTATTCAAAATGTGATCTGCCTCCTGGTGCTGACCCCCAAAGTGTTTACCATTTACCAGTCTGCAATAACTCCAGAAATCGTGAGTGCTTGGAAACTTCCAGAGTAATTTAACACTGCTGTGACATTTTTATTGTATTTTACAAAAGTACCACTCTGTAATGAATTCGAAAAAAAATTTTTTTAAAGTAAGCTTTCTGCCCAATGTGGGGCTTGCACTCACTCACGACCCTGAGATCAAGAGTCTCATGCAACTGAGTCAGCCAGGAGCCCCAATAAATTAGAAACTTAAAAAACTAGTCTTGGGATGCCTGGGTGGCTCAGTTGGTTAAGCGTCTGCTTTCAGCTCCGGTCATGATCCCAGGGTCCTGGAATAGAGTTCCACATCGGGCTCCTTGCTCAGCGGGGAGCTTGCTTCTCCCTCTGCCTGCCACTCACCCTGCTTGTGCTCGCTCTCTATTTCTCTAAATCTTTGATTTTATTTATTTGTCAGAGAGAGAGAGAGAGAGAGAGCACAAGAGAGGGTAGGGTCAGAGGGAGAAGCAGACTCCCCATTGAGCAAGAAGCCCGATGCGGGACTCAATTCCAGGACCCTGGGATCATGACCCGAGCCGAAGGCAGTCGCTTAACCAACTGAGCCACCCAGGCACCCTAAATAAATAAAATCTTAAAATTAAAAAAAAACAAATTAGGCTTTTGCTAAAGAATTTGAGAAGCACTACTCTAGAACATAGGTGTGGCAATGAACATCATCTGAAAACACAGGTCACATAGTCAGTTTTACCTATTACCATTATTTGCTTATAACCCAAGGGTTAAGTTTATTAATTTTGTTTAGTAATTTTTACACCTAGCATGGGGCTGGAACTCACAACCCCAAGATCAAGAGTCACACACTCCACCACCTGAGCCAGCCAGGCACCCAAACCCTTCAGACTTAAAATGGGAAATCTTATCAATGATCAACTAAAACACAGAAGTTAAATGACTCAAAGGCATAAAGTCAGGTAGCCAACAGAACTGAACTAAGAAGAAAGTGAACATTTATTAAGGGTCAAAGTGTCTTATTAAGGGTCAAAGTGTCAATATGTTAGATAATTTCATATACCCAATTACTTAACTCTTCACAAACACAATGTTAGGTATTACTCCCAGTTTTATAGATGAGGACCAAAGAAGTTTAGTAATTTGCTCAAAGTCACAAAGCTAATAAATGTATCTCTTCATACTTTACTTAGCTTCCTCTGGACTAAAAATGAAAGCAAGTCAAATATGGAGAAAGATTCTAAGGAAGTGAAAGTGAAAAGGCTAATATCCCTGTAATGAAATACTATGAAAATAATTCAGGTGGGCAGTATAAAGTGAGGGGCAAATTCGTCTCGGTAAAGTGTCCATATGAGCTACACAGTTGGAGATATGTTCAATTTTGTTAATTTTGATGGAACGCATACAATTTTTTTTTTTAAGATTTTATTTATTTATTTGACAGAGAGAGACACAGCGAGAGAGGGAATACAAGCAGGGGGAGTGGGAGAAGGAGAAGCAGGCTTCCCGTGGAGCAGGGAGCCTAATGTGGGGCTCGATCCCAGGACCCTGGGATCAAGACCTGAGCTGAAGGCTGACGCTTAACGACTAAGCCACCCAGGCGCCCTACAATTCTTTACAGTGAGTTACTGCTGAGATTCTCAGACACCTGGCCTTCATATACAAAAGGAGACAGATGAGAACTGGGGCCACAGAGCCAAGCACGCCTCCCCTTGGCAATCTAACAAAACACAAATGACTTGGTTTATAGTATATTCTTCCCAATTAAGCTGCATGTGGTTTAAGAATCGCATACTCTGGGGCACCTGGGTGGCTCAGTTGGTTAAGCGACTGCCTTCGGCTCAGGTCATGATCCTGGAGTCCCGGGATCGAGTCCCGCATCGGGCTCCCTGCTCGGCGGGGAGTCTGCTTCTCCCTCTGACCCTCCTCCCTCTCATTCTCTCTGTCTCAAATAAATAAAAATCTTTTAAAAAAAAAAAAAGAATCGCATACTCTGTCTACTCTCAACTCCAATTTTTTTTTAAGATTTTATTTATTTATTTGACAGAGAGAGACACAGCGAGAAAGGGAACACAAGCAGGGGGAGTGGGAGAGAGAGAAGCAGGCTTCCCGCTGAGCAGGGAGCCCGATGGAGGGCTCGATCCCAGGACCCTGGGATCATGACCTGAGCCGAAGGCAGACCCTAATGACTGAGCCACCCAGGTGCCCCACAACTCCTGAGTTTTTTAAAATTTCACATAAACTAGCAAATATTCCTACTGAACACCTATGGTCTCAGCATCAAGCTGGGCACAAAGACCTAATGTTATGCTTCTGGTAAGCATAAAAAATGTAATGTAAAGGGAAGGAAAATGGAGCAGTTGTGTATAAGGTTAGAAGTCCCAGTGGCGGGGGGGGGGGCGCCTGGGTGGCTCAGATGGTTAAGCGTCTGTCTTCGGCTCAGGTCATGATCCCAGCGTCCTGGGACCAAGTCCCACATCGGGCTCCCTGCTCCTTGGGAGCCTGCTTCTCCCTCTGCCTCTCTCTCTCTGTCTCTCATGAATAAATAAAAAAAATCTTCAAAAAAAAAAAAAAAGAAGAAGTCCCAGTGGGGCATAAGTGTTTACATTTTTTAGTGCTCAGTTTTTCTCCTGAGCAAAAATGTTAACAACCACAGTGAGGACAGTGTTTTCCAATGGATTTCCAGAGACCTAAATGCTCCCAGACTTAGTGGTAAATAATGACCCTTTAAACAAGTTTATTTACGTATGTATGTATGTACATAACCTCTACACCCAACGTGGGGCTCAAACTCACGACCCCAAGATCAAGAGTCACATGTTCTTCCAACTGAGCCAGCCAAGTGCCCCAAAGACATTTTTTCTTTTGATAGTTCTTCTGGTTTGAAACAGTCTTCCCTTGGGCGCCTGGGTGGCTCAGTTGGTTAAGCGACTGCCTTCGGCTCAGGTCATGATCCTGGAGTCCCTGGATCAAGTCCCGCATCGGGCTCCCTGCTCGGCGGGGAGCCTGCTTCTTCCTCTGACCGTCCCCCCTCTCATGTACTCGCTCTCTCTCAAATAAATAAATAAATCTTAAAAAAAAAAAAAAATGAAACAGTCTTCCCTTAACCCTGTCCCCACTTCAACAACCAAGAAACATGCTTTCATTCTTACAGAACCAGACTGAGAGACTACCTGCTCAAGGCAAACAGGAGAATCCTCAGCATTTTCTCCAACAGCACATGCCCGGCGAAACTCCAAACATAACAATGCCCTATAGAACTGATCACTCCACAAAGCATGGTGTCAACAGTCACCTTGCTTAACAAACTCAATAATGTCAGTTAGCAGAGGAGCAGACAGAATGAAATAACTTTCTTGTTTTTGTTCCAGGGAACCTTCAAATTTTGTTTCTAGGTACCTTTGACCCAAAGACAGGATTTTCGTCTGTTTCCATTAAGACTGTATTAGAGGGGCACCTGGGGCACCTAGATGGCTCAGTCAGTTGAGCATCTGTCTTCAGCTTGGGTCATGATCCCAGGGCTCTGGAATAGAGCCCTGCATTGGGCTCCCTAATCGGCAGGGAGTCTGCTTCTCCCTCTCCTTCTGCCTCTCCCCTTGCTCGTGCGCGCACTCTCGCTCACTCTCTCTCTCATAAATAAAATAAATAAAATCTTAAAAAAAAAAAGACTATGTTAGAAGTTAAAGTAGATGTAGTAAGTTTTTAACATCACTCAATACAACATCTTAACCAAGAGAAATACAGAACATGTTCTAACAACTTGGGTGGAAGCTATGAAAAAAATATGCAGGAAAAAAAAAAATTCACTATGTGAAATAATTCCTGTAAGTAATCAATAGTCAGCGAGAGGAGGTGATAGTCAAAGGACTTCATGAAATGAAGTGCTGAATATGAATAGCTAGCTATATTCTCAGGACAGTCATTTCCAGGCTATGTAGGCCCACATTGCTCTAAGGTGGCAAAAACAGTACTTTACCTTTCTGGATATTGAAGAGACATTCAAACCAAACCTTTGGGCTCTTTCCTTTAGTTTATCCAGGTTAACCTATATAAACACAGGGGGGAAAACCCATATTTTTAAAAATCAAAACAGAAAATACAAAAGGCAGAAATTATAGTCCAAAGCTAAGAGTTCAAAATAGCCTACAATATCAAAGATACCCTATACGGCAAATCAGGACACTAAGCAGCACCCATCCAGCCACTAATTATTAAAAGACCTCTTCCGGAATACAGTAAAAGATTCAACACAGCCTCCTTTGTTCATCAAACGTGGCAAGAGCCTAAAGAGGGTTTAAGATAAAAGTAGGCCAAACACTGCTTTAAAAAGCTAATATCTAAATAATCACCTCCAAACAAGTCCATTATTCAGTCCAAAATCATTAAATCCTATACGTAGTCTCTTCAGTAGTTCTTAATTCTAGCTCTCCTTTCTTCAGAAGACAAATCTACCACCAGTACCCAACTTAATTTTCTTCCTTCCTTTTTCTTAGAAGCCCTGATATACAACACTTACTATCATAAGGATGTACAGGACATTTTCATTACTACTACTGCTGATACTCCTACATTTCAGCTTCATTTCCCATACTGCACTGTAACTTCAAGAACAGGATTTTATAAAGCCAAACATATTTCACCCACAGCATGTGTTTCCATTTTCTGAACATGCCACTGAGTCACAATGGTCCGGAAGGCATCTCGTTCTACCAATCTTCAGTCTATGATTTAGTGTTGAAAAATACCAATATCTACCAAAAGAACTCATAAGTTGCTTCCACAGATTTGCTTGTGGTAACTAAATATTAGACAAGGCCTAAAACTACAGTACCATAAAACAAAGAATTATATGGACTGTCCACTAGCTAACAAAATCTACTCATTTTTTTCAAGAGGAATGACAGGAAGGAAGATGTCTATAGTGACTTGGAAGATGTGGTAATTTTCCTGACCTCTTAGTACTCAAACAATCCATTTTATTCAGGACATAAAACACTGTACTGAAAACAGACAGTCACCAAACTCATGTGATCTCAGAGATTCCTCTATCTGGGAGCTGTTTCTAACTTTAAAACCAGAGTTAAGATGTGTCTCTCAAGGTATTAAAAAAAAAAAGATTTCTTACCATAGGCTTGGCATCAGATGACAGACCTAAAGAAGCAAATAAAAGTTTTATTTAACATTTTTAAACATCATTTATGATTTTTATGAAGCTGACAGTCTTCAAATCAAATTAGTAGGGAAAAAGTACACAAGACAAATATCCTTTATCTTATGATGAGGAAAGAAAAAAAGGCAAACATTGCACCTAGAGATCAAGTCTGCATTCACTGCTGATGGGAACATAAAATGTACAGCTGCTTTGGAAAGCAATTTGGCAGTTCCTCAAAAAGTTAAACAGTTGGGGCGCCTGGGTGGCTCAGTTGGTTAAGCGACTGCCTTCGGCTCAGGTCATGATCCTGGAGTCCCTGGATCGAGTCCCGCATCAGGCTCCCTGCTCGGCAGGGAGTCTGCTTCTCCCTCTGACCCTCCCCCTTCTCATGTGCTCTCTCTCATTCTCTCTCTCTCAAATAAATAAATAAAATCTTTAAAAAAAAAAAAAAAGTTAAACAGTTTACCATATGACCCAGTAAGCCCACTTGTAGGTATACACCCAAGAGAAATGAAAACACATCCACACCAAAACCTGTATATGAACGTTCATAGCAGCATTATCTATAGTAGCCAAAAAGTGAAAACAACGCAAATGTCCATCAGCTAATGAATGGATAGGTAAAATGTGGTATACCCAATGAAATATTATCCAATATTAAAAAGAAATGAAGTACTAATGTATCCTACAACATGGACAAACCCTGAATACATTATGCTAAGAAGCCAGTCACAAAAAACTACAAAGTGCACAATTCCATTTATATGAAAGCAGATTTATATGCACAGAAAAAATGAATGGTTGCTTGGGTGGGGGTGGAAGGAGGAATGGGAAACAACTGCTAATGGGTACAGGGGTTTTTTGGGGTGATTAATATGTCCTAAAATTAGACTGAGGGTGCCTAGGTGGATCAGTCAGTTAAGCGTCCGCCTTCAGCTCAGGTCATGATCCCGGAGTCCCAGGATCGAGTCCCGCATCGGGCTCCCCACTCAGCGAAAAATCTGCTTCTCCCTCTGACCCTCTCCCCTCTTATGCTCTCTCGCACGTGCTCTCTCTCAAATAAATAAATAAAATCTTAAAAAAAAAAAAATTAGACTGAGACAATGGTTGCAGAACCCTGTGAATATATTCTTTAAAAACCAGTGAATTATATACAACTTTAAATGAATGAACTACATGGAATATCTCAATAAAGCTGTTAAAAAAAAGAAAGACATCACATCTGGACAAAAGAGCAGAGCTACCATCATAATAAATTAAAATTTAAAAATAAATTAATTAATTAAAATTACAGCTGCTTAAAGCCAATGTCCCATCCTGAAATTATCACTAAGAAGCAAGTAAATTGGCCTGTAGGCCCAATCCTAATCTAAGTCAATAATTCTTAAAACTTTTCCAGGGCGCCTGGGTGGCTCAGTAGTTTAAGTGGCTGCTTTCAGCTCAGGACATGATCCCAGGGTTCTGGGATCAAGCCCCATGTCAGGCTCCCTGCTCAGTGGGGAGTCTGCTTCTCCCTCTCCCTCTGCTGCTTCCCCTGCTTGTGATCTCTCTCTCAAATAAACAAAATCTTAAAAAAAAACAAAACACCACTTTTCAGAATTTTATTTTAAGTCATCACAATCTTGGAATTGGTTCCCTAACTCTCCACTGTAAACATTCAGGTACAGATTCAACTTTCACCACAACCCATGTGCTAGGAACTGTTAGATGTTTTTATGTTCTCACTCATAAAAAGTATTTCCGTTTAAATGCTGCCAAACTCTTAAGAGGTACTCTATAAATTAAGGATGTTAGAATTAAAAGAATACTGTAAATATTATCAATACATTATTTTATTGATCAGGTTTCCTTTTTAGACTATTAATTTTAACTTTTGTCTTTCCTCAAATAGTACCATCTAAGGTCTTTAATAATTTTTGCTGTACTATCACCAATCCTACTGCATCTCTCTTAATATAACTAAAAGCCAGAAAATATCTGTTTCTAAAACATGTAGTGAGGGCGCCTGGATGTCTCAGTTAAGCATCTGTCTTAAGCTCTGGGATGGAGACACACACTGGGCTCTGCGCTCAGTGAGGAGTCTGCTTCTCCCTCTATCACTGCCCTTCCCCCCAGCTCGTGCTTCTCTCTCAAATAAATAAAATATTTGGAAAAAAAAAAATAAAGTAAAACATGTAGTGATAGTGACCAGAATTTTACTAGTCTTTTAAAAAGCACAGCAAGTGGCGCCTGGGTGGCTCAGTTGTTGAGCGTCTGCCTTCGGCTCAGGTCATGATCCCAGGGTCCTGGGATCGAGCCCTGCATCGGGCTCCCCACTCTGCGGGAAGCCTGCTTCTCCCTCTCCCACTCCCCCTGCTTGTGTTCCCTCTCTCACTGTGTCTCTCTCTGTCAAATAAATAAATAAAATCTTTAAAAAATTAAAAATTGAAAAAAAAAAAGCACAGCAAAATGCTAGATCTTTAGAAGACGTGTTCTTAACACACTTCAAACAGATCACTAAGAAGACTAAATTAGATTAAGAGATTACATTTAAAATGTAAGTCTCTAAAACTGGACTATGTTATTTTTAAAAATAACTTTCTTCCTAATCTATTACAAGATACATACTCATTGCAGAAATTTTACAAACACAGACAAGCAAAAAGAAGTCACTCAAAATTCCATCAACCAGAGAAAGTATTAACAATTAGAACATATTCCCTCCAACCTTTTTTTTTTTTTTAGTTTTCATTTTTAAGTAAACTCCACACCACACATGGGGCTCAAACTCACAACCTTGAGATCAAGAGTTGCATGCTCCACCAACTGAGCCAGTCAGGCACCCCCCCCAAACCTGTTTTTCTATCCATACATGCGCTTCTATTACCAAAAGGGAAATACACTGCTAATATAATTTTATAATTTGTTTTCATTTAACATTTTTCTGACAAATACTCTCCAGTATCATTTTAACAACTGCATAGTCTACTATACTATGGTAGACATTTATTTAACAAATTCCCTATTGTATATTACATTGTTTCTAGTTACTGATCATGAAAAATAATGCTGTGATAATCCTTATGGTTAACTAGGTCTTTAAGCATATCCAACATTATTTCCTTGTAAATTCCTAGAAGATTCCAAGATTGTTGAGGTAAAAGATACTCTCTTTTCTCTTTCACCACTTACTCTAGGCAGTATGATATGGGACAGGTACATAATAATTACATGCTGACTTGAGACACCAAAATAACTAGGCAAGGTACTAGAAACTTCTCTAAAGATGTCCAAGAAAAGGAAAACAAATGTTGGCACTTCCTCCTATTCTCATAACTTCAGCCCCTTCTCTAAATTGCCCAGGAAGGCTTAAGTATGGTTTTACCTCAAGCAAAAAGGTGACTGTTATAACTTCTTAAAAGCTTCTAAAGCTAACAAGTTTACCTTAATTTGGAGAAATCTGTTGTGACAGAAAAGTTAAAATATAAAGGTAACTTTTTTTAGAAGAGTCTCTGTATTCTTACCTTTTGATGGAACTGAAGAAATCCCAAATCTGTAGAAAAAAAAAAACAAGCTAAATTTTAGGAAGCTGTTCAGACTCCCTGTTGTCTGTCTCCGTGTCAAGTGTACATATGGCACTTCTTGCTTGTGATCTCAAGACTTGCAATCATTAGCTAATTCTAACAACCCCATGAAAGAGGTTCAGTTTACTCTTTTTCTCACCAAGAGATCAGAGAATAAGCTAAAAGTGAAGACTTATCAAAATTAGAAGTAACAGTTCCTGATTTTTACCTATTACAAAAATCCTGCTTGATGAGACCTAATCTACAGCTACTACATCCAAATCAGCAGCAAATTCTGAAAAGAGCCAAAAAAGTGTTTCTTTTCAGCAAGGTGTCTATTTTACTTAAAATCAACAATATATTTAAAACCTAGGATCATACCCCTCCACCTTCATCTTATCACTATCTCAGATCCAAAAGGCCGGGACACTCACCTTGCTGCCCGGGCAGCTTTCTTACTCTCCAAGCTCACAGGTACATTGAATCGTTCAGCTCTCTTCTGCATTCTCTAGGTGATAAAAAGACAAAAGAAGGGGAAAAGAAAAATTAATTTCTGGTTTCCTTAAGGAGAAAAGTTGTTTAGAAGTTTGTATCTTTAGAACATCAGGAGTATATTTCATAAGGTCTAAACTGAGAATACTGACAATCCTAGAGGATATCAGGTTATATCTCTCCAGGGCTTACCTCAACAGCCCTTTCCAGAAAACAAACACAAAAGACTATTATTACATTCATGTCCTCAAAAAACAAAAGGAAAGGAATAAAATAAAACCCACATTCTGCATGAAGCCGAGACAAAAGCTGTGTTTGGTTGACCTTTGCAAAGGGATCAAAGGAACAGCTTGGTTCCAACACTAGTGGTACTCTTTCAGTTAGAAATGAGGCAGCATTGTCCTATGTCATCTCTACTTAAAAGGTTACAGCCCCCCCCCCCAACACACACACACAGATCTCAATTGGAGACCTTCAGAGATCCTGACACAGAATCCAGAGAAATTTCTGTCTTACCAGCTATCAAGTAGTGACATCTTCCCTTATTACTTTTCATCTCTTCCAAGGTACAATCCTCCCAAACTCTAATCTAGTTTGTAAACATCTTAAAGAGGGTTACCACTAAGGCCTTAGGACTATATACAAAAAGACTAGGGCTTCAAAGGTGACTATGCCAGCCCAAATATTTTCCCAAGTGAAGGTGGTAGAAAAATGTGTCAATACCAAAATCTGTCAATACTGATTTTCTGCCTATGAGTTAATTTTTTTAGTGATTATACAGGTAGAATAAAAGGTAAGAAATAGAGAGATATAGAGAGGGACTGCTTTTCTACTAGGGAGCAGAAAACCTACCTCAGTCTGTGGTATCTCAGATATAATTTTTACCACTTTCTTCTCTGCTGCCCTGGAAAAGAAGAAAGAAATTTTTTTAAAACCAGAAAACTTGATCTTCTAACCCAAAACCTTAAAATATATAAGAATACACCTGAATCATGTCCTTTGTCCCCTATCTCTCCATCACCCCTTAGTCCAAAAAAATATGAAGCCCATTAGAACTTCAGTTCCTTGAGCTGCCTGCCATCTTTTGATAAGAGTTCAAATAGTAGACTAACCTGCTTTGCTAAACTATAAAAAAGTAATCAAAAAAGAAGTCTGGTTAAATATATTGGGCTGAAAGGAAACACTCAAAGGGCACCGGAAACCACTTCTTTTACTTTTAGGAACCTTAAATTTACTTTTGGACTAATGACTATTCCTCCAACCCTCATTTAAATGGCAGCTCTAAATTTTCATCAAAATAACAATTAACGAGTGCTCTACAAGCTCTGGTTTCCTTCTTTTACAAATCCCTTATTTCTCCCACAGGGACTGTAGCTCCAGCTGGAACAGTCAAAGTGAGACAAATAAAAATGCCAAAGGGAGTGGGAAGAAAAAAGGCTAAGGGGAGTTTGAATTAGGAAAACATGGTTAAGTTACTAGTCAAAAGATTTAAGAGAAAACAAAAGAGGGGGGACCATCGGGGCGGGAGACAAAGTTCGGAAGTACCCAGGATATATGGAAGGGCATTTAACCCTCCACCAAACAACTCCCATAAAACTGTGGGTCATAACCAGTCTCATTAAGGTCCCTCATTTAGAGACATGGGCAGCCTTTGTTCCAATATCCCGGACACTTTTCCCATTTGATGCCCTGAAAGGTAGTAATGGCTTAATGGCATTTTCAGAGGAAGCAATTCTGGAACAGGAACTTACTCTCTCCATCCTTTTGTTGGAGGTCCTGGACTGACAGATAAGCAATGGGTGCCCCCTGCTGACCATAACTACATCCTACAATATTTAACTACCCTGGTTAAGGGTAGGGGGGTGGGAGGGATCAAACTAGAAACAGTAGCATATTTTTGGAGAACCTCAAGCCCAAGATGAAGGGGATCTCCTTTTGAATGGCCGAAGTAACTAAATTAGCCCAGAATATTCTTAACGGAAATCCTGAATTCTCATTTCCTGGTCATCCGTACTTCCCCAACCCTCTGTCTTGTTCAGACAGAAAGGGACACTGAAGTTTAATGTTTTACTTGAAGTCAATGCCATTAAGACAACAGTCTTCTCCACCAATCCCAAGCTAGTGACTTTCTTCACATTTTCATCTTGAAGCACAATCACTGCAGTACACCTTGTGGCAGAAAGGGAACCCCAGAAAGGATGCTTCTTTCTGCTGTGTTCCAGCTCCCTCAGGCACAACTAAGCGCAAGCAATAAATACACATCACATTCTGGAACTCACAGGAAATTTATTTTCTTTGCTGTTAAATTTCTCTCCTACCCAGTCACATATGAGACATTCTCCAAACTATAGGGACCCAGAACCTTTCTAAACCCTACTGTGGTCTAGCCACTACTAACACTCTAAAGAGCAAAAACCACCCTCCCAACACACACATTTTCAATTTCCTTGTTTAGAAATTCATTAATAAAATTTAAACGCTCTAAATAAGAGAATCACACATTTTACATATTCTAAGGATAATGAACTTCTATAAATTTTCAGACTTCATTGTTAAACCACACAAGCCAATTATCATTGTATTCACCTCATCTTCCTTCTTGCTCCTGAGGTCCCCAAAACATCGCTACTTTAATGGTATTCCTAAGCCATTTCCTTAAGGCATTACATCTAAACATAAACCTCCTATGATGGAAGATAACCACATGGCTTTAAAAAGCAGTATTATTAGGGGCGCCTAGATGGCTTGGTCAGTTAAGCATCCAACTCTTAATTTGATTTCCCCTCAGGTCATGATCTCAAGAGTTGTGAGATCGAGCCTGCATCAGGTTCTGCGCTAGGCATGGAGCCTGCTTAAGATTCTCTCTCCCTTTGCCCCTCCCTCCCCTTCCTAAAAAAAAAAAGTATTAGTAGATAAATGTAATGAAACATTAAATGTACATCCCCTGTGATGCAGCAAATCCACTGCAGGGGATTTATCATATGGACATATGTATAAATACATAAATAGCTGCGTAAGGACATGCAGCACTGCATTTTCTGCTTTATGAATTATCTAAATGTCCATCAACAAGAGATTGGTTAAGTTACTGTTCATCCATAGAACAGAGTACTGTTAGCTTCTAGAAAGAATAAGGTTCTGGGGTGCCTGGGTGGCTCAGTCGTTAAGGGTCTGCCTTCGGCTCGGGTCATGACCCCAGGGTCCTGGGTTTGAGCCCCACATCGGGCTCCCTGCTCTGCGGGAGGCCTGCTTCTCCCTCTCCCACTCCCCCTGCTTGTGTTCCCCCTCTCACTGTGTCTCTCTCAAATAAATAAATAAAATCTTTAAAAAAAAAAAAAAAGAATAAGGTTCTAAGTTGATAACTACTAACTCGGGGTGATAGGTATATGGGGTCTACTATACTTTTCTCATAACTTGTGTACATACTTGCAATTTCTCATAATAACAAGCTAAACAAAGAGACCTACCACTTACAAAGATAATTAACCCCACTTCATTCAGTTGATGTGAGGATTAAATGAGAATACATGTAAAACACCTAGAATCCTGCCCTGTATATAACATTTAAATAAAAACATTACTGTATAATGATACAAAAAGATCTGAGAAAAATCAAGAAACCCTGGGGCACCTGGGTGGCTCAGATGGTTAAGCGACTGCCTTCAGCTCAGGTCATGATCCTGGAGTCCCAGGATCAAGTCCCACATCGGGCTCCCTGCTCGGCGGGGAGCCTGCTTCTCCCTCTGACCCTCCCCCATCTCGTGCTCTCTCTCTCTGTCTCATTCTCTCTCTCAAATAAATAAATAATAATAATAATAAAAATCAAGAAACCTACAATATGTCTAGTGTATGTAACTGTATATACACATATATACAAACTCCCCAGGTAACATTCTAAAAGAATATATTGAAAACCTCTGGGAAGTCAGATAGGGGGTGGAGACAAGGGGTACATAATTTCCAGTTTATATACTCCTCTATGTAGTGTTTGACTTTTCACTAGCACACAGTCTTTTATAATGCATGAATACAGCTATGAGGAACAAAAATGTTAAAAAGGATTCAACTGTTACTAATGTGCTGGATTTGAGAGCCCCCCAAAAAGATGTTTATGATCAACCTTTTGTTTGTTTATAATCAACCTTGTGGGACACCTTAAATAAATCAAGGCCCACTTTCCACTCTAGTACTCTGTCCTCCCTTCCTCCACTGTAAATCAAAAAGGAAGAGAGAATAGTGTTACCTAAGAGACATCATCTATGCTCAGCACCCTCCACCCTTACAAAATTCCTTATACATAGAGAAATCTAGATGATTCTCTATACAGAAAAAGAATCATCTATTATGGTGCTACAACAAAGGCTAGAACTAAACTCTGCCTGGGCTTGAAGTCTCCTGGTCCTAATTATCTATTACATAACCCAGAGACAAACTACCTTGCTTCACTGGGACCATGTACTTGAAATGAAGTAGACTCTTCTGAAAATGTATGATCTAACGAGAAATGAAAAAGCCAAAGGAAATGCGTAAGAGGTAAAGAGAGTAAAAGACTAAACTCCTCCAAAACCCACAACTATCTGTTCTGTACTCAGACATAAAAAAGGGATAGTTACACATCAACAGTTTTCTCAGGGGGTTCTTCCTCTTTGACAGGCAGTTCTATGGGCTTTGGTTCTTCTTCCTAAAACCAAATGAAACAATAGTTAATATAAATCAACAGTAAATACCCATCAATAAAAGAATATAAGAACTCAAAAATGAACCAGTTTTTCAGAACCTTCATTCCCCCTCTATGCTCCCCTAACAAGTTAGCATTTAAGCCCTCTAATGATTGATGTTAAGCAATGTGGCCAAGGAAGCGGCACGCTGCCAGTCCAGTGACTAACCTTACTCTCTCCAACTCACCTCTGTTTCATCTCCCAGTACATCTTCTTCATTTGCCTCCTCTTCAGCTAAAGAATATTAAAATATTCAGGTCAAGCCCTGCTAAAAAACCATCTTGATCACTGTTCTTAGGCTAAAATTATAATCATTTTGCTTTCCCAAAATAAAATTCAATAATGGAAGGCAGAACTGATGCTCATAAAATCTGCTCCACATGGAGATGATAAAACAGTATTCTCTACCTAACATTAATACAAAGTTGAACTCCAGCTGGACTGAAATACTGTAATGAGGTCAAACTATAACATTAATAAAAAGTAATGTGGGAGAATATCTTTAAGATTTAGTGGTGGGGAAGGATTTCTAAAAAAAAACCAAAACCCTGAAGCAAAAGTAATATATGAAAAACTGCAGATTTTCCAAAACTAAGGACACCATGGAAAAAGAAAGAAATGACAAAGAAGGTATTTTTGTCTAAAACCAACAGGGAACAGTCACTAGGAATATAAAATAAATGTCTACAAACTAACAAGTGAATTAAGGGGAACCCCACTAAAAACACAGCAAAGGAGAAACCCTAAGAACCATGAGCACAAGAAGTGTTCAAACTTTTTAATTAGAGGAACGTAAATTGAACCAAAAGATTAACAAAAATTAAGCCACTTGATAGGATAGTGCCAAGTTTAGATGTGTGGAGAAGATACAAGAACCCTAATGCACTGAAGAATGTAGATTTACAGAGCAATTGAAAACAATTTGGCAGTGCTTGATCATATCAAGGATACATTTATGAACAGATATTAATTAGCAATCCCACTCGTGGGCATTTACCCCAGAAGAAACTCACACAGAAATATAAAGGAACATGAAAGTAGTAGTCTAGGAGGCAATACAGGTGTTTGTCACCAGGTAAATTAAGTAAAATGTGGTGGATTCCATACATGACAGAACACTATGCAGGAATTCGAATCAATAGACTACATGACTACACAGCCACAGGCCACATGAATATGAATATATCTTAAAAAAACACATGGTACTTAAAGAAAAGAAGTGGGAAGTAAAGTTAGGCTATGGCCTCACTGCCAATTATATAAAAATGTTGTATACCAAACAACACTACATGGTTTGCAAGGACAAAGACAAAAAATACATATCAAGCACAACAGAATAGCTGCCTAAGGGAGTTGGGAATGGATATTAAAGGAAATATATAAAAATCAGAACTGAGACTTGTACAACCTGGGATGATAATATGCCTTAAATAAAGCTGGTTGTTTGTTGTTAAAAAGGTGAAATTATAGAATGTCAGAGTTAGAAGGGACCAGAGATTCCTTAGGTTCATGAATTTCAAGGGTGGCAACATTTGTCTCATTTCATAGATCAGAATAGACACCTAATCATGTAAATATTGACTATTCAAAGTTAACCAAGTAAATTTCTGGCATAAGAGGAATCAGAAACCAAATCTTCCAATTCTCAGTCTAATGATACTTGTTTTAGCATACTTCCTTTCAAACAATTTGCTAAAATAAAATTTAGTGTCTTAAAAAAGGGGGGGGAGGGTGTATTTCTTTGCTTTATAACCACTGTTTTGGATGATCAAGAGTTTTCTTGATAAAGAGCTTATATCACCAACAACCTAAAGGAAAAGGAGAAATCTTCCATATGGCAGAGCCGAAAAATTAATCCCTTCACTCATATCACTCTGCCTCTACAAAACACTCACCATGCTCTTCAAGATATGCCTGGAGCCGGTTGATGAGATCTTGTTTTATTCCCTTGGTCTCCAAGCCACGAGCAAGACATTCCTGCTTTAGTTCAGCAAGCTAAGAAAAAAGAATAAAGCTATTCCTTAGTTAACAGAATGAACCTGGTGATTAAAAAAAAAAAAAGTTTTCACAAGAAAAAAAGAAAAGTTCAATCCCAAACTACTGCTCTTAAACCCACCAAGCCTCCAGATCCACAAAGTTGGCCCACTTCTAATGATATTCAATATGCAAGAAGACTTTTCTAACAGATGGTGAAGAATAAATGTCTTACTTTAATAGAATTTTTACCTATTCATGCAACTATTTATCATTACAAATCCCTAAGTAATTCGACGAGATCTCCGCCCCCCCATTACTGTACCAGCTAGCATACAGAAAAAAATGAATCTTTAAGTAGAAAACCTAATTATCTAAAAGCAGATTCTTCTTACTATTATCCCAGATCCTTTACTGCAATTTACTATTTACCTGCATACAAACCTCACCACTGAAGAATTAGGTAGACGTGTTAGCTAGTTTAATGTCAACAATGAATCGATTAAAGGATCTATGTCAAAATGGAAAAAATATCCAATGGCATGCTATCAAGTTCTGTGGAAGAGTTTTAAATCAGTAATTTGACTAAACATATAACAGGTATCACCTTTGCAGACAACAGAAGGAGGAAGGAAGACTTGATGAATTACTGACAGAACTAAGGGGCAGGGAGGGCAAGAAGGGGAGCTCTTCAGAGAGAACAATGAGCCAAAAAGAAGATTCAATTTGGAAGGACTAGGTATCCCTATAAAGTATTACATTTATATTCAAAGCTTAAATTGTTCAAAAACCAGATGAGCAAGATCTGACTCAACAGTAACTCAAAGGATAAAGACCTCAGGATTTTAGATGTTTACAAGTACAAAGAGGGTTAACAGTATAATTTGCTACCAAAGTAATTCAAGGTTATGGTAACTGAAAAACAGATCTATATTAAATGATTATTTCTTATTTTAAGAAGCATAATGACATGCCGATCCATAGAGAACAAGCAAGAAAAGGAAGGCTCCAGAAATCTTATATGCAGATCAGTGCACAAATAGATGGGCACTGAAAGAAGACTTCACTGGCTTTGAAGTACAGATCTATGATCAACCAGGAGAAGTCAGAAAGCAGATCCCCATAGAAGGAACTTTACAATTAAGGGAATATGCTAGGCATCTCTGGAAGGCTTTCAACCAAGGGAGCATTTGAAAATGGAGAGGGGAGCTTCCCCCCGCCCCAATACAATGACTGGGCAGGTGGAGCATTCAGTGAGTAGGTCAGGCAAGCAGGGATACTATGTGGAGAACTATCCTACTCAAACCAATAGCACCCTCTACTGAGAAACATAATAGGTAAATCACCCATTAAAAGCATAACACGGCCTCTCCTAAAGTCACCTGGGTTCAAATTTCAGCTTTACTACTTAGAGCTGTGTAACCCTGGATGACTAACTTAACCTCTCTGTGCCTCAGTTGCCTATGAAATGAGGATAAGGCAACAGTACCTATACTCTAAGGCTGTTAGGATGATTAAATCAGTAAATATCTGTAAAGCATTTACAACAGTACTTGGCAGCTAGTAACCACCTCGTAAGTGTTAGACACTGGGTGAAGGATGAGACAAGATTAGACAGAATCACTGCTTCTCAGATTTCCGAATTTCACAGATCAATGTATTTTTAATTAGGCAGACTGATGCGGCTGCCAACTTTTTATAATATTCCAGCCAGATGGACTGATATGTTTGTTAAAAACAATAAAAACCAATTACTAGAAAACCATCACACACTTGGGATGTAGCAGTGACGCCAAACTGCTATAAAAGTTTTTAAAAGCTTACTAATTTTTTTTTTTTTAAACTTATGGTTAACCAGTAATAGTTCATGACCCACACTGGCCTTCAGACCATACCCTGAATACTATTAATCTAGAATCTAGACCCTAAGTGATCTCTAAGGTCCATTTCTTAAGAATCTGGATCTTTCCCACACTGGTACTTTGTTTCTTCATTTTCTCTCTGCTTCCTGGAGAACAAGGCTTTTGATTTTAGTTACACCTTAAAGTTTCGTTGGTTTGGGGCATCTGGGTGGCTCAGTCGGTTGAGCGTTCAGCTCTTGGTTTGGGCTCAGGTCATGATCGCGGATCATGGGATCAGGCCCCACCTAAGGGTCATCACTACTTGTGGGATCTGCTTAAGATTCTTTCTCCCTCCCTCTCTTCTCTTTCTGCTCCTCCCCGAGTGCACGTGCATGCCCATGCTTGCTTGCTCATGAGCAGGCTGTCTCACTCACTCACTCAAATAAACAAATAAAATCTTAAAAAAAAAAGTTTTGTTTGTCCCTTATAAAAGTATTATGTTTACTGTAGAATAGTTTGAAAATTCTGAAAAGTATAGAGGAAAATAAGTCTTACGTAACCCCAGCAAATGGACATCATTTAACATTTTATTTTTTTATTTATTTATTTTTTTAAAGATTTTATTTATTTATTTGAGAGAGAGACTGAGAGAGAGAGAGCATGAGAGGGGGGAGGGTCGGGAGGGTCAGAAGGAGAAGCAGACTCCCTGTCGAGCAGGGAGCCCGATGCGGGACTTGATCCAGGGACTCCAGGATCACGACCTGAGCCGAAGGCAGTTGCTTAACCAACTGAGCCACCCAGGCACCCTCATTTAACATTTTAAATACATCATTTGTGTGCGTGTGTTTAGAGGGTGCTGGTTGTTTACAAAGCAATACAACTTCTTTATTTCTTGTAACCCTTAATCTTCCTCAGAAGCCTCCATTCCCTTTCCCCCCTGGTTTAACACTTTTTGGTAAATATTCAGGTAATTCAAAGTTCAACGTTCTAACAGAGTTGTTCTTCCCTTCTCTTTCCTTCCCCAAATTGTGCCTAGATACAGCCAAGGTTTACAAAAACTCCCAGCTGACAGGGAAAAGGACAGTGATGGTTTTTGCACAGGCTGCTGATCTAGACTTGGGAACTGACAGATTGGTACAACTGGTAGTGTAGCATGGATAGTATCCATCACTGCTGACCACTGGCCCTGCCACTGCCTTTGGTCACTGAAATCTCAGCCCCCACCAGTTCCCAGTCCCTAACCCCAGATCTTTGGGTCATTCATAAGGTCAGTAATAGCCTAACACTATGTCACAATGCCTACATCACTCACCTCACTTCATCTCATCACGTAGGCATTTTATCTCACATCATCATAAAATGGGTGAGTATAGTACAATAAAGTATTTTGAAAGAGAGCACATTCATATAACTTTTATTATAGTATATAATTTTTCTGTTATTAGTTGTTGTTAATCTGTTACTGTATCTAATTTATAAATTAAACTTTATTATAGGTGTGTATTTATAGGAAAAAATACAGTATATGTAAGGATTCAGTACCCTAGGTTTCAGGCAACCATTGGGAGGTCTTGGAACATAACTCCCATGAATGGGGTAGGGGAAGCTACCGTATATCCAGAATCTAATTCCTTCTGGTCTTTCATACAGATTACTGTAACTCTTAGCCCTTGCACCTCATTATAGTTTATTCTCCACAAAGTATCCAGAGTAAACTTTTAAAAATTTAAGTCAGGAAAAAAAAAATTAAAGTCAGAACATGTCATTCCTCTATTCAAAACCCCTCCATTGGTTTCCTATCTCAAGGGTAAAAGCCAGAGTCCTAATGATCACCTATAAGGTCCTCTTATAACACTTTGCACAAGACTCACTCCTTGGGGCGCCTGGGTGGCTCAACTGGTTAATCCTTTGCCTTTGGCTCAGGTCATGATCCCAGAGGCCTGGGATCAAGCCCCACATCGGGCTCCCTGCTCAGCAGGAAGACTGCTTCTCCCTCTCCCATTCCCACTTGTGCTCTCTCTCTCTAATAAATAAATAAAATCTTAGGGCGCCTGGGTGGCTCAGATGGTTAAGCGTCTGCCTTCGGCTCAGGTCATGATCCCAGGGTCCTGGGATCGAGTCCCGCATCGGGCTCCCTGCTCGGCAGGGAGCCTGCTTCTCTCTCTCTCTCTCTCTCTCATGAATAAATAAATAAAATCTTTAAAAATAAATAAATAAATAAATAAAATCTTAAAAAAAAAAAAAAAAGACGCACTCCTTTACCTCCGAGTCTCTGCTTTAACATCACCTTCTCGATTAAGGCTTTCCCCAGTCACCCTATTTAAAATTTCAATACCCACAGTCCCACTGTACTACACCTAACACCTTTCCTATTTTTCTCTACAGACCTTATCACTATTTAACATACTATCAATTTTACTTATTTAACTGTCTGCTTTGTTCACTGCTCTATGCCCAGAACATATGGTAGCTGGCACCTGGAAGGCACTCCATAAATATTTCCTGAATAAGTCCCAAACCTTTACCATCAGCTCTCAGCTCTTGCAAAGGAGACCCACATTTCCAACTATGATTAGACATCTCCAAGTGCAAATCTCAAAGACACTTAAGCCCAAAACTGAACTTATCTTCTTTGCTGCACGAAACTGGCTTCTTCTCCTCTCAACTTAGACTGCTCAAACCTTTGATTCACCTTTCATTCCTCCCACATCTAACTCATCTATAAATACTTACAATTTTATATCCCAAATTTCTTTCAAATTCATTCCCATTCTAATATCCACTACCTTATTTCAGGTCTTACTAAGTTTATTCACTTGACAGTGTTTGAGCACCCACTCCATCAAGCATTATCGTAGATACAAGGAAATAATCATAAAGAAAAGAGAAAGTTCTTGCCCATGTGGAGTTTATTTTTTTTTTATTTTTTATTTTTTTAAAGATTTTATTTATTTATTTATTTGAGACAGAGAGAATGAGAGACAGAGAGCATGAGAGGGAGGAGGGTCAGAGGGAGAAGCAGACTCCCCGCCGAGCAGGGAGCCCGATGCGGGACTTGATCCCGGGACTCCAGGATCATGACCTGAGCCGAAGGCAGTCGCTTAACCAACTGAGCCACCCAGGCACGCCCATGTGGAGTTTATAATCTAGTAAGAAAACAAGGCAAACAATGATCATATACATAAAGTTTAATATAAAAAGGTACAGGGTCCTACGAAAGTATTTAAAGAGTGGTCTGATCATATGTGTGGATATGGAGAACTTATCCTACCTAAGGGTTCCTTGGGTAAATGATGTTTGGCTGATATCTAAAGGGAACTAGTACTTAATTAGACAAAGGTATGGGGGATGGAGGTGGCAGGAGCACTGCAACCGAAAGCATGTGTCAGTTCTGGGTTCCGAGGTAAAGAAAGGCAGCAGTGCAGTGATTAAGAACATGACTTTGGAGACAGACTACCTGGATTTGAGTCACCACTTATTAGCTCTGCGACCTAGGGCAAGTTACTCAATCTCTCTGAGCTTCCATTTTTCTCATTTTAAAATGGCAATAACAGAGGCATTTACCTTTCAGGGTTATTATGAGAATTAAATCAGTTAATGTATGTAAATAGCTTTGACCAGACCTTGCCACATAGTAAATACTAAGTAAGTATTATTAGTAATTAACGAACACAGCTATTCTGAGAAATGAAATGAAATAAAGCCACTGTGGTTGGGAGTGTGAGAAACTAAGCTGGAGAGATTGGCAGGGGTATAATTAAAAGGTTTTAAGCAGAGATTGACTACTATAATAAAAATCTAGGGGCGCCTGGGTGGCTCAGTTGGTTAAGCAACTGCTTTCGGCTCAGGTCATGATCCTGGAGTCCCTGGATCGAGTCCCGCATCCCTCCCCCCTCTCATGTGCTCTCTCTCTCTCATTCTCTCTGTCTCAAATAAATAAATAAAATCTTAAAAAAAAAAAAAAAACTAACTGGTAAAATCTCTTGCTCTCCAGACCCCATCCTCCATACTGCCAAAAGAACAGAAACTGATCACATCAGCTCTTCCTTTCAAATTTTCAAAGGCTCCTCACCTTCTGCCTACATGACAAAAACCAAACACTTTACACAAGTTAAAAGGCCCTTTTCAATATCATTCCATTCTACCTTTATGGTCACATAGTTCACCTACTTTCCTTTCCAAACTATCTTCAACCACCAACATAAATGCACTTTATGCTTCAATATTACAAATGTCTCGATGTTCTCAACACTCTGACACTAAACATCCTTGCGGTTCTCTCCTCTGTAGTAGTCCTTTTTTCAACCACTGACTGGGAATCTGGTACCACTACAGTTCAAGACATTTTCACCCACATTCAGTCTCTCTCTACAACTGTGTTAGAATGGCTGCATTTCTACAAAGTCTCCAGAAATTTGCTGTTGAGGTGGACTTATATATCAATTCAGATAATATTTTTCCCTCCTACTTCAAAGCTTGTTCCTTTCGTCTGAGACTCTATACTAAAGCCCCAAATTCTCTTTATAAAACTGGAGTTTTTAAAAAAGAGATAAAACTCTAGTCAACCCAAAAGTCAGGATCACTCCATCAAGATCAACCATGGAACCAAACATTAACTGTCCTGGAAGTCAGAATTAAAGGCACAGGTTCTTAACCAGAGGTCCACGGACTCCTCAGGGCTGCAATGTAGTTTTATGAAGCCCCTCAAATCGCATGCAAAGTGTATGTACATGCCTTTTTCTGGGGAGAGGGTTCATACCTTTCATCAGAGTTTCAAAGATATCTGTGACCTCCAAAAGGTTAAGAAGTGCTCTAGAGAAAAAGCAAAGACAAGCAAATGTGATTAAAAGAGTGAATCCTTTTCAGGGGCACCTGGGTGGCTCAGCTGGATAAGTGTCCAACTCTTGATTTCGGCTCAGGTCACAATCTCAGGGTCATGAGACTGAGCCCCATGTCCGGTTCCCCGCTTGGTCGGGAGTCTGCTTAAGACTCCATCTCCCTCTCCCTCTGCTCCTCCCCCTGCTCATGCTCTCTCCCTCCCTCTCTCTAAAAATAAATAAATCCTTAAAAAAAAAAAAAAAGAGCGAATCCTTTTCAGGCTGTCAGGAGGGCCTCATATTCTCTCAGACTATAATACCTGAAATCAGGTCAGAGGACATTATCCTATCAAAATCAAATTTAATATAGACCCGACAATTACAGATTTTATGGAAAGAATCACTCCATAAACCAACACAAAATCCATAAAGGCAAGTCACAAAACTAGTGACTTACTCCAGGGATTTGAAAAGTGGAATTAATAGAAAGAAAATACTAAAACTTTTATTCATATTTCCTTTGTATCTCCATTCACTCAAGCGTTGGTGGTATAGTGGTGAGCTTAGCTGCCTTCCATTTAGTCAAAACTTTCTTTTCAGGGTGCCTGGGTGGCTCAGTCGTTTAAGTGTCTGACTCTTGATTTCGGCTCAGGTCATGATCTCAGGGTTATAAGATTGAGCCTGGCATCAGGCTCTGTGTTCCGCTGGGAGTCTGCTCGTCCCTCTCCCTCTGCTCCTCCCCCTGCTCGCACTCTCTCTCTGTCAAATAAATAAATGACAATTTTTTTGGTATGTTTTATAACATACATGATGGTATGGCAGAACAGAATTTATTTAAGTAAGCAGACATATAACAGAGGTGATTACTCAATCTTTTTTACTTGTTGCATTACGAGACCACTGATATAATCTACAGATTTCAGTGCTACCAACAGTAACTCCAGGATACACGAAAACCCACTAGAACAGTTTAGAATCCATGGGTGAGAAATCAAATTTCACAGAAAGGCTAATTGGTGTCATCCAGCATGTGTCCTCCCTACCCTCATTCTCTTTACTCCTTTTTAAAAGCTCATCAAGCTTTAAAGGATCAGTTTTCAGCTTTGGTTAAATCAGCCTGGTTTGTCCAAGATTCCCAGGATGATGTGATCAAAACATCTGATGGGAAAAACTACTTGTGAAACTACAAATGGACAACTAATCAAGATATTCTAATTCACGCTAAAATAAACTACTCTTTTCTTCTAGGAAACTAATAATCTCAATGTCAGGAAGCTACCAAGACTCCCAAAAGATACAACTTGCAACAGCCCTGTGATTGAGAGTGTCACCCAGTGGTGACACCAAGAGATGCAGGGTCCATCCACGAATTGAAATGGGAAGAGATAAACCTAACCTCGGAACTGCTCTTCCAAAATATTACAGCTACGAGTGAGTTGTCTTTCTAGTGGTAAGGGGTAAGGGTAGGGGGTAAGGCTGGCGGGCCGAGAACCGCGTGAGAGAATCCGAAAAACTTTTAAATCTGAGGTATCTGTGCCTTTACTAACCCTTAAGGTCTCCGAAATCCCCGGCTTCTAAGGAGAGGCCTGGCTTCTAAGGAGAGGCCTCTCCTCAGGTTTCAAAGTTAGCTCCGAGGGCGTAACCCCACCTACTAAAAGGAGTGGAAGCATTCTCTGGATCCTGTTTGAAACGCGAACAGATATCAATACACAAAGCTGCCATCATCTGCTAACGGGAATCCCAGCTTTGGAAAACAGACTGGAAAGCACCGACCCAGGAAAGAAAAAGGGGTTCTGGCTCCAGCATGGGGCAAAGAGGAGGGGACCACTGACGTAATGCAGCTCTGACGAGAAATGAAAAGGGAGTATAACAGGTTGAAAGCACTTGCACACCCCGTGGGGAAATGACGGATGATACAACGATGAAGAGCCGAAATAACACAGATACTGTGTTATCCCATATCTCCGTACGGAGAAATGGGAAATTAGGGAAGGCGTAGTGGGGAAGAAGGGAGGCACAAAAGAAAAGAACTACGGCGGGAGCCAGAAAACGAAGTGGAAAAGCCTGCAAGATGAACATGCAGTAAAAGGCGCAAGCCACCCGGCAGAATTCAGTCCCCAGAAAAGTCTAATTCAGCCTTTCCCCGCCTCACGGTACCTTCAGTTTATGGAGCTCCACCGTCTCCGCCGCCATCTTGTTACCCCTCCAGTCCACTAGGCCCCCACCCGCTGCCTCCGCTTCCAGGAGCTCCCGCCTAGGCGCAGATAACCACGGCCGACCAATCGCTGTCACTCTTACTCCCACCTCACACTATCAAATCCCCCCATTAGTCAATAGCGGACGTCGCTCTCACTCCTCCAGGCAGCTTTCCCCACCTCTCTCAAAAGGTGGGACAGGGAAAGGGGCGGGTTCTGAACGTCCCGACGGCGGAAATGGCGACCAATTGCGCGTCCCCGTTGCAAACTGCCAACCAATGGGTGGCGGCAGCGCTGATTCTGTTCCACGAATAGGGAGAGCGCAGATGGGCGAGGACAGCTGCTTCCTGGAGACCACAGGTGTGGAAGCGAACGCCGCGCTTCGAGTCGGACGGGCTTCTGAAGCCAGCAGGTACGGGGTGCCAGGACACTGGAAAATGGGGCTGAGGAAAAGTGGTGCGAGGCGAAAGGTGGTGGAGGGCGGGGGGAGTTAGAGCGTCGGCAAGTTAAATACCGAGAGGAGCTCTGAAGAGAGCCCTGAGGATAGCCGGTGAACGACAAACGACAGGGAAACTGGGAGGAGCATGGGGCGGGTTCAATACTAGGGTTTAGGGAATTTTAGGTAAAGACGGGCCAGCAAGATCTGCTTCTCAAGTAGGCATCAACAAGCACGATTTTAAAGGGCCAAGTTCAGACGATCAAAGCCGCTCCTGGAATCGGGGATAGGGCTCCGTCTCTCGAGATGCTAAGCTCAGGTCCCTTCCTAGCTCAATCCAAAAGCCACTGGGTAAATACCTGGCAGCGCCCTTCGCTTGAGAAATAGATTGGGATGCGGCCTGCTTACATGCCAAGTGGATGAGAGACAGGACGGGCAAGCCCCAGAGGAAGAGGTGGGGATTAGCAGTTTCGTCCCCTCTGTCCTTATTAGTGGTTCCTTGGTTTCCCTGCTGCCCAAAGTCCCTGCCCCAAGACTAGGCTTACCCCTTCAGGTTACAGTTGAAGTCTAAGGATCAGAGTAAAGATTACCAATAATGTCTCTAAGAGTAGAGAGGACTCGTCTTGCCTTTTAAGTTTTCTTTCCTAAGTCTTCAGTTTTTCCTTTGTGCACAACAGGGAAGTTCTTTTATTCCCAATAGAGTTCAGGGGATTTGGGCTATTCAGGAGACAACTTGGGGGAACAAATTCAAAAAGAGGTTGAGAGGAAATTGAGTTGGACTCCTGCCTGATCCCCCACGGCGGTAGGATGAACGTGGGGGTGGCACACAGCGAAGTAAACCCCAACACTCGAGTGATGAATAGCCGGGGCATCTGGCTGGCCTACATCATCTTGGTAGGACTGCTGCATGTGGTTCTACTCAGCATCCCCTTCTTCAGCATTCCTGTTGTCTGGACCCTGACCAACGTCATCCATAACTTGGTGAGCACTAAACCACACCCTTATACCGAACCCAGGCCTTTCCCAACCAAAAACAAAATCACTGATTATTTGGGGATTTATGTCTTCCTTTTGGGATCTCAGCATAATTCTTGGGCTGAAGGACTACTTTCTGCCTCCTCACACTGCCCCCTTCCCTCCTCCCAGGCTATGTATGTCTTCTTACATACAGTGAAAGGGACACCCTTTGAGACCCCTGACCAAGGAAAGGCTCGGCTACTGACACACTGGGAACAGATGGACTACGGGCTCCAATTTACCTCTTCCCGCAAATTCCTCAACATCTCTCCTATCGTACTGTGAGTCCGGGGGGAGATATGGGAAATGCTCCAAGTGTCAAGGAAAAACCCCCACAGGGAAGCTTTAAAAAAGCAGACTACTCACTTAGACCCTTTGAAGATATTATGGCATGGTCTAAATCTAGGGAGAGCAATAAAAAGTAGAAGATAGTAATCAAGCATTCCTTGCTGCCCCTTTGGTGTTAGGGGAATGGAGAAAGGACTGAGAAAACACCCAAGCAAAACCAAATGGTTTTACACTTCCAAAGGAAGAGAATAAAGCAGAACTGATATAAATCTGTGAAAACTAACTATGGGGAATGGAAGCAAAGGGACTCTAACAATCATATAGACTTCAGCTGTCATTTGCCACGTCATTAACAATTAAAAAACACTCTAACTTATAAATCTCTAGCTAAAGGTGCTGATTATCTTCCCAACCCCAAAATACTGTTAATTTAACTGGAATATTTTCAGATATTCTAGGACTACATGCAATAAAACCGGTGATTTCAAATAGAAGAGAAAGTCACTGCAAAGTCATAAATATGGATAGGGAAGGCCAACTTCACTTAACCCATTTCTTCTCTCCCCAGCTACCTCCTGGCCAGCTTCTACACCAAATACGATGCTGCTCACTTCCTCATCAACACAGCCTCATTGCTCAGCGTACTGCTGCCTAAGTTACCCCAATTCCATGGGGTTCGTCTCTTTGGCATCAACAAATACTGAGGGATGGGGCTGGGGTAACACTGGACCAAAGGACTTAACATCCTTTCCTTCTCCATATTGTCTTCTGTGTCTTGAAAGCCCGAGAACTATATAACCTTTCACAAACTCCCAGGAAAAAAACAGATCAGAAAATGGGGCTCCCTGGGCCCAGCCCTGCTAAGAGCAGATTTCTTTGAATCAGGAAAGGTGGAAAAGATAAGGGCCAAATCACTCTCCCTCGCAGCAGGAAGCCATGTTTGAGCAGTTTGGTGATTAAGTTTTTCCAGATCTTCCACCTGCACCACCTTCCAGCTCTGTTTTGCTATGTATTTTCCTTATAATAAAGATAATTTTTTTTTCAGATATGGCTACAGTTTGGTCAGCAGGAAGGGTAGGGAGATGTCCTCATAAGGCTGAGGAAGAAACAGGGAATAGCAACTTACTGTATAAAACTTCTCTAAGATATTTTTTTGTCCCCTCTCCCTTGGTCCAGTAGGAGGTGCCCTTCACTCAGCTAACACTTAGTAGGGAAAGAATTCTCAAGTGAGAAAAAGGGCAAAGAAGAGAGGGAAGATACAGGTTGCCAGTTATATATTTATAGAAAGATAATCCCCTGGCTTTAAATAGATATGTACATACAAATATGAACAAACTTAAAAAAATACAAACCCTTGGATCATAAGGGGGCTTCTGGGAGCCCCTTAATCCTTCCCCCTCACCCAAGGGCAGAGGGCATGAGTCTGCTTTTTTAAAAATTATTAGTTTTGGCCATCCCTGCAGCAACAAGCATGAAGTTGAGTGATTACCCACAAGGTGAATGTCAGGAAAAATTCAAAGTTCCCACTCTCTGAACTCTATGTATAATCTCCTATAATTAGAGCTACATGCTTTCTTGTTCTCTTTTAACTAGTATGTTGGGGTAAAGGAGGGGGCTCCCTCCTGAAATAGGTCATGAAATTATAAGATAGACTCGTAGTTTAAAAAGGGGGGGGAAGTGTCATCTGCTCTAGAAGCAAAAGACAAAGGCATACAGACCCCAGGGAAATACCAGTTCACACACTACCGTGGGAGATACTGTCCAGCCCAGGTCTGGGCTCTAGGTTCTTTGCTCTAGCCACCCCCTATTTCTTTGGTATTGTCAGAAGACAAGATTCAGTTCCTAGGTGCTGGTGGAGGAGGGAGAGTGGTTCCGGGGCTTCCTACAAGTACTGAGTGAACAATTTGGGCTTAAAATTTTCCCTTTTTTAAATATTTAAAAATAAATAAGTCAAAAACTCCATCCTGTGCTATACACAGCCCTTTTGACTCCCTGACATTGATCTGAGGAAAGAAGAGAAGGGGTGTCAACGTTGGAAGGGCCTCCTCACTTTCTTCCGCCGCTTCGGTTTGGCTTCTCCCTTGGGTACTGTGCTGTTGGGCTTAGAGGCTGCAGTGGCCCCAGGGCTAGGCTGAGGAGCTGCAAAGAAGTTCCCATTGGACATCTGGCCTGGGGGTACTTGAAAGATCCGGCTCAAGAAATCCTGAAGGTCAGCAGGAGGGGCATCTGGGGTTGCTCTGACAGGAAAACAGAAGACATTATGAGGCAAGAGCTATTAAGAGTTATATGGTTACATGTGTTACCTGTTTATACCTAAGTTAAAGATACACTGGAAAAAAAAAAAAGATATACTGAGCCAGCTGCCAAACTTCTTAAGGGTAAGACATCTAGGTGTCCTAAGCAGCATGTCATCTGAAATCATATTCCGAACTACACTAGTGGGTAGATTATTGGAAGAATTAACACCTACCTCTGCCGCCCACTTGTGCCTGGAATCCGAGAACCAAATGAGATGTGATAGGGGACTCTGTGGGTATCTGGGGAGATTCCCACACGCTGGCATCCAGCCCACTCTACAAGCATGAGAAATAATTAGCCAAAACATCAAAGTTTTGAGCCTACATGAGCCAATATTTCTAGAGAACAGAAGTATACCTGTGATGTCATACACCTTTCCATCCATCAGTGCAAAATAGGTGATCTTGAGGCCCAACATGCTTGACTCTGCCCAAAAGTCTCCTTCCTCAGCAGGATGCAGCCTATTACACTCAGCACAGTATCTGGCACTCTTAGGTTCCCGGTCCATTTCAAACCTCCTACAACCCAACAAAAGGATAGTTCCTTTTAATTTGTCAAGCCTACGATATTGTTATAGTATCATCATTATAATCGCCTCTCGGCCTTTTGGCTAAGATCAAGCATTAGTATTATTATTGACAAATATGGCTAAAATATCTAAAATTATCTCCACTCAGTTGTTACATATGTCTACAAACACCCATACCCTCAACCTTCTCTCTCAAAAGTAAAAGTAATACTTTTTTCTCACTACAAATTCAAATCCCCAATCTCTTGACACTATGGCAAAAGTAGAAACCTCAGGGTCTTTTTACTCATCAGCTGTATCCCCCAACTACCAGTAATACTCACAAGGAAGTCTTTGGCTACCCAATGCCTAAGCTGTGGCTGTCCCATCCCTGCCCTATTTCATACCTATGCTTTCCCTGGCATCGGCTGCACATCATAGTATTCATTGCCTCTTTGAGATCATCCTGCAGCTTGGACAGAAACTCATTCACTGAACGGCTCAGCTCATTCTCTGCCATTCGTTTCCTAAGAGAAAAAAGCCTTTGTAAATCAGAAGGTATTGAGCAGGGGACAAAGGGAGATGAATCTTTTAGCCTCTTGAGGCCCCAGGCCAGCTAGAAAGATAAGCAACCCCAGTTCTCTCCGCCTGAGAGAGCCTCATCCACAAGTCCAGGGAGCTCTACTATG